GTTTTCTGGGGCTTCCCCTCCCCCATGCTCCCCTATGTTTCCGCTTCCCTAACCCCTACCTTTGGGTTTTCCCCCTAAAATCTTTTAAAAATCTTCGTTTCCTAATGCCCGGGGGCTTCCCTCTTGTAAAAACCGCCTCCCCCCCTCCTCCTCCTAATCTCCCCGCTTTCGTTTCCCCTTGTCCCTACTTGTATTCTTTTCTAAACCCCAAAAAACCCCCCTCACTGAATTCCTGTTCCTCCTCTTTCTCCCTAAACCAATAAATCGCTTTTCCCCTTATCAAACTTACGGTGACCCCCCCACCCAATCCCCCCCCCCCCTCAGCACCACAATCGCATTGTCCCATCTTTCGTTTCCCTAAATTTTCAGGCTAACCGGGTTCGTCACCCTTTAACACCTCCTTATCTGCCCTAACTTAAATTTGCTTAAAATTTTCATTATTAATCCTTTTAATCCCCTCCTTGGCAAAACACCCCACCCTTTTTCCCCCCCCCACCCCCCCCCAACGCTCAAAGGGGTTCCCGGATTTTAAACCATTCCCCCATGCCTTTCCCCATACCTAAAAAACTTGTATTTTCTTTTCCCGCCTCCCACCATCGAAACCTCCCACCACCCTCCCCCCCCAGCAATTTTCCACCTTTCCCCCAAAATGACCTTCATCCCCCCCTCAGAACCTCCTTTTTTCCTCCCCATTTTCCCTTTTAAACCATACCCCCCCAACACTATACCCCTGTATCCGAAAAAACCGACACAAAATCCCCCCCCCCCAAACCCCGACAATTATCCTATTAACCTCCCCCCAAAAATTCCAGAAAACGTGTGTCCCCCCATCTCCCCCCCTAAACCCACCCTTAAACCCTCATTTAAACCCCTCCCTTGTTCACCCAAACACATCCCCCCCCCCCCCCGGTCCCCATCCCATACCCATCACCGTTTCCAATCAAAAATTTTAAGTCTTTGGAATAAAACCCCGGGAATATAATCAAAAAACCCCCACAAAATCACTTTCTCAAAATTTTACTTGCCCATATATACCCCAAAAGAAACAACCCTTTCCTCACCCCCGTGCCCCCTCACCCCTTACATCCCTCCCCCCCCCCCCTCCTCCCAACCCAGAACGAAGGGTGGTTTCCACCTATCTACCCCCCTTTTAATTCAAACATTATGACAAACATTTTTCCCCCCCTTTACTCCCTAACCTAGGTTATCTCCCAAAAAAAAAACCCCAAAAACCTTTTAAAACCCCCGAACCAAACCTTTTTTTTCCCCAATTTTAAGCCCATTGCAAATTTTTTACACAACCCTTAATTTCTAAAACCCCTTTCCCCCTTCCCCCCTTAACTACCCTTACCCTTTCTCAGTACCCGTACCATTTTAATCCTTTTTTCCCCAACCTTCCTCCACCCCTTTTCCTTGCCCCCCCCCACTTTCCCCGAAAAACCCCCTCCCCTTGCCCTTTTTTTAACCCCCAGTTCTTTTGGGGGTCTTGCCCGGTTTAAAACTCACTCAAAAAACCCCAACCTTTTTCCTTTTTTCCAAAAAAATTCCTCCGCCCCTCCTGAGGGCTTCCCCCCCCCTTCCTTCCCCCTCGTATTCCTTCCCTTCCCCTGTTTTCCCGTCAACCAAGCTTATTTCCACTTACTTCTCAGGGACCATCCCCCCCCACCGTCCGTCAAGAACTCCCCGCCCCCGCACCGCTTCCAGAAACTTTCCGGGGTGACTCTTTAGCCCCCCCCCCCCGGGGATGGGGGCCCCCCCCCCCTGCCCCCGGGGGGTAACACGGTGCCGACCGTCGATACTTCCCGTTCTACCCCTCACTCCACGACCACTCGTCCTGCTTCCCCCTCTCCCAACTCAGGGATCAAATCACATGGTCTTGCTCCACGCCCCCGACCCGGGGGCCCTGTAGGTGCCCCTTGGCACTGTGCTGCCTATGGTCAATACACATAGTCGACAGGTCTTTTTCTGGCCGGATAGTGTACAAAGCCTGCGCCCGACTCCCCAGCATGACTAGGCGGTATAGGCCTAGCCAACGTATTTTGAGGGGAAAAAGCCCTCGGGCTCCCTTTATATGGCCCTTCTGTCCCTTACTCCCATCGTTTTCCCAAAAACTTTACCGTAGTTGTTGAAAACCTCCTGTATACTTTTCGCCGTCGCCCCGAAAGAGAATTTCCCCCCTTCACCCCGTATAGTCCCCGGATCGTCAGCATAACAAGTCCACTGCCGAGTTCACCGTCACCTTTCCCCTCCCGGTACTCTTCAAAAAGTCTGGTAAATCCACCCCCCAAGGAAGGCTCCCTTTACGCTGGGAGGGGTCTTTTATCTAGGGAAATTGGATCTGTGTCCCGTTCCCCGAATTAAAACCTGAAGCCTTCACCCCCCCAAGGGGCTGATAAACCTACGGGTTTAGTGCTTCCCCCTTGATTATAAAAATTTTAAATGTCGGCCCGGTAAAGATTCAGTTTCAGGAATACTCGGGGCATCCCCTTTAAGGGAACACCATAATTCCTCGTTTGGGGACACCATACGTCCCTGTGATAGCAGTAGCAATGTTTGCATCGTGCTCCATAACGTGCCCCTCCACGTTACAAACAGGTTAAACCGCTGTCCCCCCGGACCCATTTTGTCTTCAGTTGCTAAAGGTCACCCCCAAGGGCAGGGTACTACTAGGCGTGCGTCCTCTCTCCCCGGAGGTCGAGAGACGAATACGAAGGGTTTTGGTTGGATGACTAGTTTTTACTAGGTCTGATGCCGTCTCCCTTTCCCTTAAGGGGGGTGACCCACTAAAATGGGCATTGGGCAAGCCGGGGTACATGGAAATGTTTCGCATGGGGCATAGGGCCCGCTGCATGTTCCTTCTTTTTATGTTCTAATGTTCTTAGAAGTGTACTTGGGCAAATACCCCGTAAAAAAAACGATGTAAATTTAAAAGAGAGGTGCTTCCTTAAAAAGCCCTTTATCAAAAATCTGAAATTATTAATTTTCCAGACTTTTTCAAGGCAAAAAGAAATGCTGGTTAAGATAGAAAAAACTGTGATGGGAAAATATGAATCGAGTCCAGCAAGACCCAAGGCAGCAAAAACCTATTATCAAAATTGAAAAAAAAAACCCCAAAAAAAATTTTTCTTTATATGGGAAAAACCATTGAACCTGTCCCGTACTGAAAACTTGCTTTAAAGGAATTAAACTTAAACCGAATTGATGAATATAAAGATGACTTATGAATCCTATCATAAACCCCAAATTTTTTACCCTTTTACATTCTTTTTATATTTCGCATTTAATGTCCTTTGGGTTTAATGTCTTGGGTTTAAAGTCTTGGTTAATGTCTTGGTTAATGTCTTTTTGGGTTTAAAGTCTTGGTTAATGCAGTAACATCCAAACTTCTAACATCCCAAATTTTTTTTAACTCATTTTTCTTGTTTCTAACTTTATGATTATTTACGTAATATGGGCTAAGAAAGTATTTCTTCACTATTCTTGTATTTCTTTTCTTGCCTAGTAGAATTGTTGCTAGTGTCAGTCATACAGTTTGATAATCTGTTATCTACGTCCTTCATCACATCTCCAGGGACGTACACCTTATACTTAACTTTGTGTTTTTGATGTGCAGATCACATTTTTTTCACATTTTCAGTCGTAATACTTTCCTGCTCACCAGTTTGCTGTAACTGCAGTAACTGTTTCAGTCATAATATTTTCCTGCTCACCAGTTTGCTGTAACTGCAGTAACTGTTTCAGTCATAATACTTTCCTGCTCACCAGTTTGCTGTAACTGCAGTAACTGTTTCAGTCGTAATACTTTCCTGCTCACCAGTTTGCTGTAACTGCAGTAACTGTTTCAGTCGTAATACTTTCCTGCTCACCAGTTTGCTGTAACTGCAGTAACTGTTTCATAGTACTTTCCTGCTCACCAGTTTGCTGCAACTGCAGTAACTGTATCTTCTTCCTAGGTTCCTCCAGCTGTGCCTTCACCTGACCATACTAGTTGACTAATTTCATTACATTTAGATTTTTAGCTGCTAGCTCCTTACATTTCAATAGCGTTTACCGTGAAAATTCCCTGAGAACGTCTTCCTAAGACTGATCAACTCATTGCTAAAACAGGTCAACTCACTACTAACGCAGGTCAACTCATTACTACGACAGGTCAACTCATTACTAAGACAGGTCAACTCATTACTAAGAAAGATCAACTCATTACTAACACAGGTCGACTCATTACTAACACAGGTCAACTCATTACAAACACAGGTCAACTCATTACCAACACAAGTCAACTCATTACTAACACAGGTCAACTCATTACCAACACAGGTCAACTCACTGCTAACACAAGGCAACTCACTAACACAGGTCAACTCATTACCAACACAGGTCAACTCATTACCAACACAGGTCAACTCATTACTAACACAGGTCAACTCATTACTAACACAGGTCAACTCATTACTAACACAGGTCAACTCATTACTAACACAGGTCAACTCATTACTAACACAGGTCAACTCATTACCAACACAGGTCAACTCATTACCAACACAGGTCAACTCATTACCAACACAGGTCAACTCATTACCAACACAGGTCATTTTATTACTAATATAGGTCAACTCGCTACCGGAAATAGATAAATTCAATGTGACACAAGTCTATTTACTACTGACTCACTTGCGCGTTATCCATGTTTGTTTACCTGGAGTTTACCTGGAGAGGGTTTCGGGGGTCAACGCCCCCGCAGCTCGGGCTGAGACCAGGCTTCATGGTGGATCAGGGTCTGATCAACCAGGTTGTTACTCGTATGCATTGATTTTCCATATATTCTCTTGTGATAAAGCCCCGTCATGGGCGAAACAGAGACCATCATACTCGTGTGCTCTCAACAATCCACAGTGATGTTTACCCCCTCACAATATATTGCTGCAAATATAAATTTAATTATCAAACTATTTTGGAAACTCAATTCCCACAGTAAGGAAAATAAGATATTACTATTACAGGAAACGTGCCGCCCCTAATTGAAGCTGTACTGAGCAGGAACCTGACACTGGTGGAGACGCTCCTGAGACACTGTCCTGACCTCACTGTCTTGGACGCCACAGGTAAGACAATGAATTGTTTTCTGTAGAGGATGTATCGTTAAAGAACTTATTTTGCATTACATTTAAAATTGGTTTGAAAAATTACAAGATGTCTTTTAGAGTTTTTCAGACATGTATAATGTAATGTCGTGCTGAATAGGTAAAACTTGCAATTTTGGCTTAAATAGCAATGCAATTGTGTCCGAATAAGACAAGCGAGAATTTGTGTATGCATTAATTTCGCAAAAATTATTCTCAATCTAACGGAAAAAATATATTTCATTGTTTGTTTATTATTAAATTATTGTAAACTTATCTAAAATATATTTAGTTGGATTAAGTTAAATTAAATTGCGTTTGTTATAATAAGGTTAGGTAAGATTTATAAGGGTCTTTTGGTAGAATATTATTAATTTTTACACTAACATAAATGAAGAAAAATATACCTTTAAACGTATAAGAGAAAATTTTAGAAACGACTAAATTTTAAAGGAGTTCTTGCTAACTGACCAGTTTTAACCCATTCGGCACAAAACACACACACACACACACACACACACACACACACACACACATATATATATATATATATATATATATATATATATATATATATATATATATATATATATATATATATATATAATTATTGTAACCATGAATGAGTGGTACTAAACAATAACAACACTGCGATTAGCCGAGGATTCGAACCTATGTCGTTTTAGCCCGCTTCATTGTGAGCAAAAAATCACACATGACGCTCTAACCCACGGGACCATGCAATCCTACAAGAATCACGCACCCAGAAGAACTAGGTGTTTTTACCTCATGATGTGGCTGTGCATCAGCTTTGACTCAGCTTTGACTCAGCTTTGACTTTTAATGCTGTGTTATTCTCAAATTGCTGCCCAACATTTCTTCTTACCCATTCATTTTCATTTCTGTTTTTTCTCCTTGTTTCAGTATCTCTGGTATTCATTATGTCGTCCATGACCTTCCACTTGTAGATTTTGCCTCCCTGTACCTCTGAGTGAACAATGAACTCATTCTGTTCTTGCTTTTGCTTCTTTTTTCTGTTTACGAATTTCTCCTCCTCTCGATGCTTTCCAGCTACGTATTCATCATTGAATTTGCTGCCTTCCCTTGTGGCTCCCTTTCCCATGGCACTCTGCTCAAGCGTTGCCTCACACCATCATAGTCTTCCCTCTGAAGTTAGATTTGTCCATTCCTTCATATCCTATATTCCTCACCACGTTCACTTCCATAAGATAATCAAATCTCAACGTGGTCGTTCATCGTAGTCGCTAATACCAAGTGGCCTCTCATATTCAGTGTTGACCTGCCTTAGAATCATTTAGGGGTGAATACAAGATCCAGCCGTGGTGGTTCGTCGCCTCGTATCTCTCTGTCCCTAACATGTTGATACACAGTGTTTTTTATCACTACCGCCAACAGCTTAGTCCTCCCTATTTCCAGTCCCTCATGTGGCTCTAGATTTTCCCATTCCATTTCCTTATGGTTGAAGTTTCTCATGATCAGTAGTTTTGCAGTGAAGATTTAGACACTTATGCAACATAAGTGTGTTTGCATTGCCCATGTGGGCCCTTCTAACTACCTCCGCTATCGTGATCACCATTACCCTGTTGGTGCCTCCTGCTGTTGGAGTGTTTTGTAGTCCCTATTATGTAGTCATTTCATTCTCCCAATTCATTCCGTTCGTTTCCTCAAAAAACCACTGGTTCCTGATCATCAGCAATACTCCTCCACCTGTTCTGTATTCTCTGTCCTTTCACAGTAGTTGATATCCTTCTGGTAAAACCGCATCTGTAATCACTGTAAGCTTAGAGTCTGCTAGTCTTTGCTACAATATCTGAGGATGATTTGCTATTCGCTTTTTTCATAGTATACCACATTTTCAATTTTCTTTCAGTTACTGTGTTCATATTTTCGGGTTTCTATTCTCCTGGTTCTTTCTCATGTATCAAGGAAGGAGTGAGTATAGAGGAGGGTGAAGGATGGGAGGATAAAAGCTGATTGCATGAGTGGGTATTACAATGGATGAGGGTGGGACTGTGGGTGTGGGTGAAGGGTGGATGGGGACTAGGGGATGGGTAGGTTGGAGACTGTTGTAGGGGGTGGGACTGTCAGAAAGGATCCAGACTGCACTGGTTAGAATTACGAGTGCGGGTGTAGGTGGGTGAGGATAGGAGTAAGAGTCGATTTATTCTGAGTTATTGTGTTTGAATGAGATGGGGAAGTTGGGGTTTGAAAGACTATTTGTGTCAGAACTTGGTGTGACCCCTGCAGATAGAGCTTCTACACGATGAGGCTGAGCATGGTGGTCCCCTAAGGCAGAGCTTCCACACGGTGAGGCTGAGCACGGTGTCCCCTGAGGCAGAACGTCTGCACCTGTCACTGTGTTCACTGGTACTTCTACTTATCTGTGACTTCCTTACTCTCTCCTTCAGTAGTTCCCTCTCCTGTAACGATCTGTCCTGTCAAGAAACTCATGATATCTGTCGGTCACCTTCAATATTTTCTGTCTCTAGGTCCCTTCTCGTTCCATTCCTGATGCAATGATCAGTTTAATCAGCCATATTTTGTTCCTTGTGTACTTCCATATACCCTGGAAATATGCCGCCTGGCCCTCAGCACCCGTATGTTCAATGATGTTTTGAACCTCGTATTTACCTGATCCTAATATTTCATCAATCATCCCTTCAGCCTGTCGAAGACAATGGATAATCAGTGACCACTTACTCTCCTCCTTCCTCCTCTCACTTCCTTTTCTTCAAGACTTCATTCTCTTTTGTTATCCTGTGCTTCGCTGTGCGCCATATCATCTCCCTCACCTCCCGGTTTCCTGAGAGCATTTCCATAATATTCTTGCTTGCCGTGTTGCCCTCGCTTCTGGCTCTACACTTGGAGAACTTTGTATTACCTCCACCTCATACTTCCTTTCCTTCATCTCCTCGAGATTTGACTTAATCTTTTTGAGATCGTCTTCCAGGTGATACACGTTTAGCTCAGCAGCAATAGACCTTTTATGTGCCTTTCATAGTGTGTGAGTGTAAGTGTGTGAGTGAATGAGAGAGAGAGAGAGAGAGAGAGAGAGAGAGAGAGAGAGAGAGAGAGAGGAAGGGGGTGGAACGGGAAAGGGTACCCAGGCGAGTTTGCTACAAATTTATTTATTTATTTTATGTCTTTGTAAACAGTACATTGAGATTTTGTATTTACAATAGTGGGTTGTAATGTAAAGAGAGCCTCTATTACGCCTAGGCATTATGGGTCAGCTTAACATTATTGGCTTACTGTCTACTTAACACTAACGATTATATCATAGTTGTACAGTAGGATAGTAATTATTTCATAGTTGTACAGTAGATTATTAATTATAAATGAATAAAAATTTGTATACGACAAAAGATATATTCATATATTCGAAAATGCTTTTTTGTGAAAACAATGATTCAATTATATTCCTGTCAACAATGGATAAAAGGTTCAAAGTGATTGTTGAAGTTATGATGTGGGAGTACATAAGTGAGTATGTGTGTACTGAGTATTAGCGTTTAGTCTAGGGTGATTAAGTGGCTTTTGAGAAGAGTCCTAAATTGATTTTCAGACCGGGTTACTTCTGGTAATGAATTCCATATTTTGGGGCCCTTTCTGTGCATAAAGTTTTTACAGTGTGATATGGACACGAGGTATATCAAAAAGAGATCTGTGTCTTGTGTTATGGTCTTGTGTCCTGTTTAGGTTGGTGAGGAGAAGTTTGAGTGGAGGGTTTATATTTGTGCGTATTGTTCTGTGTATGTAGTAGGCACATGAATAAGTATGGATGTTCTTAATGGTGAGCAGATTCAGACTTTTGAAAATTGGTGGAGTATGCTGGCGGGAGTGGGAATTTGTTATCATTCTTACTGCTGCCTTTTGCTGGGTTATTAGGGGTTTTAGGTGATTGGATGTTGATCCCCATGCACAAATTCCATATGTAAGATAAGAGTATATGAGTGAATGGAACAGTGCCAGGAGAGCTGATTTTGGAACGTAGTACCTTATCTTTGATAGTATGCCTTGGAGATTTTCTTGGTGGTTTGTTGTATGTGTGCCCGGAACTTAAGGCTACTGTCAAGGTGGATACCTAGGAATTTTCCCTCTGTAAGTCTTGTGACTGATGATCCATTTAGCGTTACGTTAAATGGATCATTTGCAGCTTTGTTTCCAAACTGAATGAAATAGGTTTTATCAGTGTTCAGGGTAAGTTTGTTAGTCATCATCCAGGCAGATATTTTCTGTAATTCGGCATTGACTGTGTTTGCTAGTATGACTGTGTTTGGGTGGGAAAAGACATATGTAGTGTCATCTGCAAATATGGGTTTGAGTAGCTGTGATGCATTCGATAGATCATTGATGTAGATGAGAAAGAGGAGTGGTCCAAGGACGCTTCCTTGTGGGACTCCTACTGTGATTGGTTGGGAGGAAGAGTTTGCATCATTTGCATACATATATTGAGTTCTGTTACTAAGGTATGATTTTAGGTAGTTGGGGGAGTGGCCTCTGATACCATAGCGCGTTAATTTGGAGTACAGCAGTTCATGGTCGACTGTATCGAAAGCTTTGCGTAAATTAATGAAAATGCCCAGCGGGACTTCTTTCTTTTCAAGTGAGGTATATATTAGTTCTAGCATGTGTATGATAGCATCATTTGTGCTTTTATTATTCCTGAATCCAAACTGACAAGTGTTTAATATGTTGTGTGAGACGAGGTAGGAATAGATCCGTCTATGAATTAATTTTTCAAAGATTTTAGAGAGCAGTGGTGAGTTAGATATTGGTCTATAGTTATTCAAGTCAGCTTGGTCACCTCCTTTATGGATCGGAGTGACCCTCGTTATTTTGAGGATTGTTGGGAAGGTAGATGATTCAATGGATTTGTTAAAGAGCGTTGCAATAATTGGTGACAATACTTGAGAAACTTTTTTGTACATAAAAGCTGGCTAGTTGTTTATGTCTCCTGC